ATTCTGCTTTACAGATATTATTACATTAACTGGATATAATTAACTCTTTTAAAGACATTGTAAGTAAAAACACTCTGAAGATGATGTCCACAAAATTGGCATATTTGATAAAATCGTAATAATTCGACTTTCTTGATATTATTTCAATATCTAGATGTAATTAGGACTTTTTCAAAACACTTATATTTTAATAGGAACTAAAAATTGTTAATATTACAACGAATTTTATTTCTGGTGGACATCATTTTCATAGTTTTCCTATTTTTCTTTATATTCCAGGTCTCAAATCATACTTGTATTTCAATAGGAACTAAATCGTTAATATTACAACAAATTTTATTTCTGGTGGACATCATCTTCATAGTTTCGCTATTTTTATTTGTATTCCAGGTCTTAAAATACACTTATATTTCAATAGGAACTAATAATTATTAATATTACAAATGTTTTTATTTCTAGTAGACATCATCTTCATAGTTTTCCTATTTTCTCTTTATTCCAGGTCTCAAAACACAATTATATCAGGAACTAAAAATTGTTACTATTACTTCGAATTTTTTCTGGGGGACATCATTTTACTGTTCATATTTTTACGATTTTTATTTCTGGAGGACATCATCTTTTTCCTATTTTTCTTTATATTCCAGGTCTCAAAGCACTTTTATTTCAATAGGAACTAAATCGTTAATATTACAACGAATTTTATTTCTGGCGGACATCATCTTCATAGTTTTTCTATTTTTCTTTGTATTCCAGGTCTCAAAACACATTTATATTTTAATAGGAACTAATAATTATTATTACAAATGTTTTTATTTCTAGTGGACATCATCTTCATAGTTTTCCTATTTTCTCTATTCCAGATCTCAAAACAATTATATCATTAGGAACTAAAAATTGTTACTATTACATCGAATTTTTTTCTGGGGGACATCATCTTCTTAGTTTTCCTATTTTTCTTTATTTTCCAGATCTCAAAACACACTTATATTTAAATAAGAACTAAAATTGTTAATATTACAACTAATTTTTTTCTGGTGGGCATCATCTTCATAGTTTTCCTATTTTTCTTTATATTCCAGGTCTCAAAACATACTTGTATTTCAATAGGTATAATCGTTAATATTACAACGAATTTTATTTCTGGTGGACATCATCTTCATAGTTTTTCTATTTTTCTTTGTATTCCTGGTTTCAAAACATACTTATATGTCAATAGAAACTAAAAATTAATAATATTACAACAAATTTTATTTCTGGTGGATAGCATCTTCATAGTTTTCCTATTTTTCTTTATATTTCAGCTCAAAACACACTAATATTTCAACAGGAACTAAAAATTAATAATATTACGATTTTCTTTTGGATATCATCTAACTGTTGATATTTTTACGATTTTTATTTCTGGTGGACATCATCTTCATAGTTTTATTTATTTTTTTTTTTTTCATATGCCAGGTCTCAAAACACACTCTTATTTCAAAAAGGAACAAACAATTGTCAATAATACAATGAATTATTCCTGGTGTACATCATCTTCATAATTTTTCTATTTATCTTTGCATTCTAGGTCTTAAAACAAACCTATGTTTATGGTTAATATCTTCTTAACAGAGTTATTTTTCTTCAGGTCCTAAAGAAGACTTAAATTTCAATTTGAACTAAAAACTATTGATATTTTTAGGATTTTGTATTTTTGGTGGACATCATCTTCATAGTTTTTCTATTTTTCGTGTATGCCAGGCCTTAAAATACACTTATATTTCAAATGGAACTACAAATTGTTAATATTACAACGAATTTTATTTCTGGTGGACGTGTTGTTCAGAGAATTCTTATTTTACTTCGTAAAAACACCTTCCCCCCATTTTTAATTAGATTTTTTCAAAATCAATAGGCTTTGTCCCCTTATAGAGCTTGTTTTTTGCTAAAAATTTCAGTTGATATTATTTATAGTTTTTAAGTTAGGATTTTTTTACTATTTTTACCCCCCTTAAGCCCCTATTTTTATTCAGATTTTCTTTAAAATCAATAGGCTTCGTCCCCTTATATAGCTTGATTTTTCCTGAAATTTTCAAATTGAAATCGTTTTCATTTTTGACTTAATCGTGCGGACAAAAAACGTAATATCATACGGACGGGCAGATGGACGGACAGACGGACGGACAGACAGACGAACAGACGGACGGATGAAGCGAATACATAATACTTTTCACAGACTACTGTATGAAGAGTATAATAAAATAAAAATAAAATCCTCTATCTACTCCTATTAATTTATATATAATTATTGAAGTGCTTTTGAGCAATTAATAGTATCAATAAACAAATAGCGTGAGTTATAATAGTGAGTCATAACTCACGCTGGGCTCCTACGATAATTCGGTATATAAATAGTGTGCGCAGTAAATTCTTGGAAATTTTAATGTCGATAAATGTTCTATTGGCGTAAAATGTTAGAAATATTTTTTTAACAACTGGAAAGGAATGAATAATAATTAAAAGATTTTAAAATTATTAAATTGTCAACGCCTCTTAGTAGGTGGAACGCTCAATTATTACATTGAGGGGAGTAATGTCATTTGAAATTTTAACCAGATAATTTTGACGTTTTCAAATCAATTTCTAATAATAGTGCTAAAAAAGATGAATTTAGATAGTGAAGATAAGTTATTATGTATACCTCCAGAAATAAGAGAGATAATAATGCAATACAGAATTTATTACCAGAAAAATCAAAAAACAAGTATAAAGGTGCATACTAAAATTTTCAAGATTGGTGTAACTCATTTACAGAAAATGTACTTTTGGCATATTTTAATGAACTTAGCAATACATCGTCTGTATGGACTTTCTACTCCTTGTAAGAAGTACACTCAACATAAATAATGGAATTAATATAGAGAATTATTCAAAATTACGTGCGTTTCTTAAACGTCAATCAGAGAAATATATAGCTAAAAAGGCAAAAACATTTATGCCAGAACAACTTAATAATTTCATAAATGAAGCTCCTCATGAGAAATATCTGGCGACAAAGGTAATAGCTCTTACAAAAATTCAAACGTTTTTATCATCTAGTCAATTATATAATTCTTTCTCGATACTTGTATCTTAGTATTTATTGTTATAGTCGTAGATAAAGTATAGTATTCAACTTGCGGTAATGGTCATAACTCACTTGATGAATTGCATCACTCTCCTGCGGCTCGTGCTGCAAACTTCATCTGCGTGAGTTATGACCTGCGTTAAATAGTATACTATTATTATCCAAACAGACCTGTCGTCCAATTACAGGATAAAATTTAATTTAACAAGTGTTTTATAATAATAATTTCATATTTAATTAAAACTTACATAAACGAATATTCAGTACCATTACTTATTTTTAAGAAAACTGACAATATTTTGTTTGAACATAATACATAAATTACATAATTTATTAGGCATTCTAATGACCTGTCAAACAATAGCTCCCAGTGGAGAGGTCTCGTATATCTAAGGGGGTAGCGACGTAGCCTTGGATCTTGGTCGCTATTTTTATTCGAAATATTAGTCGCCAAGCTTGCCAATTTATGAAAAAATTTACAATCAATTTTTTTTTTAAATAATATTTTTATTGTGTTCGACATAAAATATTTAAATGTATTGCATTATTCATGATTTTACGTATTGTAGTTACAATACATTTTATGTCGCAACCCTTACGTATACCAAACCTTCCCATTGGCAATTCATTTGTTTGGAATGCCTAATTGAATTTGTTACACATTGCAAATATAGGAGATTTTATAAACACATTTGTTCTTGGAAATAGTAAATAAAAACAATTTATTTCTTGAATTAAACCTTGGTATATTGAAATTAAGTTGTGATAGAAGTTGTGGGGAGTCAATAAAGTTAAGAATAGTCTTGTACTAAATTCAGTTGATCCTTTTAATGTACAAAACTTTTTACAACCTTACAGCTAGTTGCAAGAATGTTCCTCTTATTACATTTTTTAGAGCTTGAGAATGTGATGTCCGAATGATTTGAACTTTAAACTACTCATAGTCTAAACGTCTGTCAACGTTCAATAGAGAATCAATATTTAATTGACGTTCTTGCAACCGGTTGTATTTTTAGTTTTTTTGTTAAAGTAGTGACTATCAAGATAATATATACAGTAATTATTTTTTTCTGTCTGGCATGTAGTTATAACACATACTTTGATTACTATACGTTACAAGAGAGACGTCCGACACGCCCAACATAGGGCGCGCCATTTTGATTCCTATGCCACAGTTTATAGCTAAAGAATCAGATCGCTCACTCTGCGTCGGTACTTTTGATCTCAATGTTTATACACTGCGCAACTCAGATAATACAATATATGACAACCGCCTATAATAAAACAGCAGTCTTCTGCGTATCCTGAATTTGTATCCCTGGAGTGGATGTTATTTTGGAACTTTCAACTGGTCCGAGTGAGCTAACTGATTCTTTAGCAATAAACTGTGACCCAAAAAATAATATTCACTGACTGACAGCAGCAAGCAAAATATCAGGTGCGTTTTAATCATCCGCTTCTGCTTCCGGAATTGTCGGTTTAGTTGTTTTAACCTGTCAGATTAAAACAAGAAAACCGACAATTCCGAAGCAGAAGCGGATGATTAAAACGCACCTATTAAAAATATTGCGCCAAGATGTAGGCAACACGTAATAAGGGATCAAAATGGCGGAGTTTTCTATCTCCTTTTAAAAGGCACTCAGAAAGCTGCGCAGTGCGACCATTCTCCGTATAGTAAAATAAAATCAAAGTATGTGGGTTATAATCTGAAGGGATACAATTGTCAACAGTGTGTCAGATATCTCGCTGCAGTGTGTGACTAGGTAGCTAGAGAGGTCAGTGAACATGGAAAGCATAGAAACTGAGTCCTGTTGCTGATCTGCCTAGAGGAATATATTCAATGCTAGGATAAATAAGATCTGTATGTTAATTAATGTTTGTATACTTTCAGGTGAACAAAACTTTTTCACTTCTCAAATGATTAAAGATTGTATGAAAAAGGTAATAGCCGTAACTTTACACCAGTCAGTTATGGTAGACAATGACATAGAAATAAAAGCCTACTATGCTGGCCATGTCTTGGGAGCTGCCATGTTTTGGGTTCGAGTTGGTAATCAATCAATTGTTTACACAGGAGACTACAATATGACCCCTGACAGACATTTAGGTGCTGCTTGGATAGATAAATGCAGGCCTGACTTACTCATTTCAGAATCTACATATGCTACTACTATCAGGGATTCGAAAAGATGTAGAGAAAAGGACTTTTTGAAAAAAGTGCATGAATGTGTTGATAGAGGTGGAAAAGTACTTATTCCAGTATTTGCTCTTGGCAGGGCTCAGGAACTTTGTATACTTTTAGAAACATATTGGGAAAGAATGAATCTCAAAGCACCTATTTATTTCGCTCTCGGTCTTACCGAAAAAGCAAATAATTACTATAAAATGTTTATAACTTGGACTAATCAGAAAATTAGAAAAACATTTGTACAACGTAATATGTTTGATTTTAAACACATCAAGCCTTTCGATAAACAATTTATTGATAATCCTGGACCAATGGTAGTATTTGCTACACCTGGAATGCTTCATGCTGGTCTAAGTTTACAGATATTTAAAAAATGGGCCCCTAACGAAAATAATATGATAATTATGCCAGGTAATTTTTAACATTTTATAATAAAAATTATAAAATAAAGCTTATTTAATAAAGATGAAATATTTAATCAATATTATAAATATGTTTAAGAACATGGTCTAAATATTTTTAACGTTAATATGTGGTTAGCCCTTATAGAAAGAAGTTGTTCAAGAAACTATTCTGTAACCGACCCTGCTCATGTGACTTCTTCAAAATATGCCTTCGACCTTCTATTTTTAAGTTAATTTTTTACTTTTCAGAATAACATTTTTAGATTACCAAATTGGCAGATTTTACTAAAATGTGGGCCCCGCATATTTTCAAAACTATTTAGACCTAGTTTCATATTTATTATAACATTTTCTTTAAATTCCTGAAATTTTTGTTTTAGGTTTCTGTGTACAAGGAACTGTGGGCCATAAAGTCCTAAACGGAGCGAAAAAAATTGAATTTGAAAATAGACAAATAGTAGAAGTAAAAATGGCTGTAGAATACATGAGTTTTTCTGCACATGCAGACGCTAAGGGTATTATGCAACTTATTCATCATTGTGAACCAAAAAATGTAATGTTAGTACATGGAGAAGCAGCCAAAATAGAGTTTCTCAAAGAAAAAATTCAGAAAGAGTTCAACATTCAATGTTTTAATCCAGCAAATGGAGAAACTTCTGTGATACCAACCTCTGTTAAAATTCCTATAGATGTTTCACTTCCGCTGCTTAAAGCTGAAGCTAAAAGGTTTAGTAGTATGACTCCAGACCAGAAACGTCAAAGAACTCTCCATGGAGTTCTTGTAATGAAAGAAAACAATATGTGTCTTATGGATGTTGATGAAGCTTGTAAGGAAGCCGGCATAAATAGACATATTGTCAGGTTTACTTCCACCGTTCATATATCAGATTCTGGGCCTGCCCTCGGCACTGCTCACAAGCTGCTGCAAGTTATAAAAGACAAATTACCTATCGCATCTATTGTATTTTCGGAAGGTGAAATATCTATTGAATCTGTACTAGTTAAGGTGGAAGGAGATGATGATGATGATCAGAAAAGTGTTTACGTTTCTTGGACTAACCAAGATGAGGAGATTGGTAGTCAGATCTTAGGAATTATTAATCACATTAAGTTTTAAAAGTATACAAACTGTTGATTAATTATTATAAATATATAATTTTTATTTCTTATACAGACCTGCTATTTTAATTGCGATTATATAAAAAAAAAATCTGATGTGTCCAACACATGACTTTCCTATCTAGTTATTATAGGCTTTTTCCGGTTATTTTGAACAACCTATTGCAGCACCTCTATAAATGTTTAGAGGATAATCTAAATATATACATTTTCCACATATATCTAACTCGACACCTTTTTCTATAATATATATTCCATAAAATATAAAAACGGCCTCCCATAAAGTACCCCCCCAGATGTTCCGCCTTCGTCTAAAATCTAATCATTTCACCTCAGGCCGAAATAAAACAAGTTTATAATTTATTGTTTTTTCCTTTATCCGTTTTTGAGTTTTCTTCAAAATTCGAAATTTACACATTTTCTCAAATATCTCGAATACGGTCTATTTTAGAGAAATTATGTATGGGATAAAAATTATAGAGAATTATATTACACACAACTTTTATTTGAACAATTTTTATAAAAAAATATTTTTTTTTACATTTTGTCAAATTTATCGAATACGGACCATTTTAGGAAAATTTTATATAGAACAAAAATTATAGATAATAATATTGTAAGTAACTTTTATTTGAAGAATTTTCTTCTCCAAACGTAAATAACGGATATATTTCATAAAATATAAAAATGACCACCAATAAAGTACCCCCTCAAATGTTCCGACTCTGCCCAAAATCTAATCATTTCACCGCAGGCCGGAATAAAGCTTAAGTGGTGGTGGTGGATACAGACAGACGACAGACATACGACAGACAGACGACAGACAGACGACAGACAGACGACAGACAGACAGACGACAGACAGACAGACGACAGACAGACGACAGACAGACGACAGACAGACAGACGACAGACAGACGACAGACAGACAGACGACAGACAGACGACAGACAGACGACAGACAGACGACAGACAGACGACAGACAGACGACAGACAGACGACAGACAGACGACAGACAGACGACAGACAGACAGACGACAGACAGACAGACGACAGACAGACGACAGACAGACGACAGACAGACGACAGACAGACGACGGACAGACGACGGACAGACGACGGACAGACGACGGACAGACAGACGACAGACAGACGACAGACAGACGACAGACAGACGACAGACAGACGACAGACAGACGACAGACAGACGACAGACAGACGACCGACAGACGACCGACAGACGACCGACAGACATACGACAGACATACGACAGACAGACGACAGACAGACGACAAACAGACGACAAACAGACGACAAACAGACGACAAACAGACGACAAACAGACGACAAACAGACGACAAACAGACGACAAACAGACGACAAACAGACGACAAACAGACGACAAACAGACGACAAACAGACGACAAACAGACGACAAACAGACGACAAACAGACGACAAACAGACGACAAACAGACGACAAACAGACGACAAACAGACGACAAACAGACGACAAACAGACGACAAACAGACGACAAACAGACGACAAACACACGCACACGCACACGCACACGCACACGCACACGCACACGCACACGCACACGCACACGCACACGCACACGCACACGCACACGCACACGCACACGCACACGCACACGCACACGCACACGCACACGCACACGCACACGCACACGCACACGCACACGCACACGCACACCCACACGCACACACACACACACACACACACACACACACACACACACACACACACACACACACACACACACACACACACACACACACACACACACACACACACACACACACACACACACACACACACACACACACACACACACACACACACACACACACACACACACACACACACACACACACACACACACACACACACACACACACACACACACACACACACACACACACACACACACACACACACACACACACACACACACACACACACACACACACACACACACACACACACACACACACACACACACACACACACACACACACACACACACACACACACACACACACACACACACACACACACACACACACACACACACACACACACACACACACACACACACACACACACACACACACACACACACACACACACACACACACACACACACACACACACACACACACACACACACACACACACACACACACACACACACACACACACACACACACACACACACACACACACACACACACACACACACACACACACACACACACACACACACACACACACACACACACACACACACACTCACACACACACACACACACACACACACACACACACACACACACACACACACACACACACACACACACACACACACACACACACACACACACACACACACACACACACACACACACACACATACACATACACATACACATACACATACACACACACACACACACACACACACACACACACACACAACACACACACACACACACACACATCATCCCGAAAATAGTCAAAACCGATTCAGGGGACGCCAAAACGTCGACAACAATCATGATTCCTATACTTTCCTTTATCTGTATACAGATAGGAAAGTAATTAAATCCGAGGGGTAATGGCTCCATGACAAAACAGCGCGTAACGAACAAGATATTGTTGCACTGGCTTTTGGTATCATAATTTATTTTAACTCAACTTTAACAATAATTATACAACGGATAACGTCCACTGATCTGTATTATTTTAAAATAATACAGATCAGTGATAACGTCTATCATAAAATTGAACTCTGACGTCAGGTCGTCGCCTTATATAGCCTGCCTCGACCTTCTAGAACGTTCTCGAGCAATCTGGACTTTTCTTTGACAAGGAATGACATTTCGAGACATTTAGGGAATATTCTATCTTCTTTATTTACTCGTACCTTTACTTATGACGACTGCAGCACGCTACAGGGTGCTGCGTAAAATTGCTCCCTCCTCTCTAGTTATTCGCCCCGAATAACTTGATTATTGGTACCTGGCTGGAGCCAATGGGGAGGATCTGGACCACGGTATGGCGCTAACTTTTCAATGTGAACTACCTTGGGTTTACTTCCCGCTGACAACTGAATGCGGTAGATCAGGTCCTTGATTTTCTTAAGGACGGTGTAGGGGCCTTCCCAGTTCCGTTGCAGTTTCTCTTCGGCGCTTGGGATTGTACAACCATACTGGATCGCCTCTCTCAAAATGTGTTCCTGTGGCGTACACGTCGATTCTAGCTTTTGCTTTATCGCTATTGACTTTCAAACGTTGCAGAGCGAATTCGTATACCTTTTCGAGTCTTTCTCTTAAGTTCTGTATGTACGTGGAAGGTGTACGGCTCTCTTCTTCATCAGGAGGCTGCCTTCCAAAAAGAAGATCATGGGGAAGTTTCATTTCCCTTCCAGTAATCATCATGGATGGAGTATAACTGATCGTTTCATGTTCAGAACTTCGGTAGGCTAGCAAAAATAGAGGAGTTAGTGTCCCAGTCCTTTTGATTTTCAGAGACGAATATAGAAAGATACTAGCATATCGTTATATTGTGTCTTTCTACCATTCCGTCGGACTGTGGGTGGAGAGGCGTAGTGCGGGTTTTCCTGATACCTTCATCAATTCTTGCCATAATTCGGATTCAAAATTTCGTCCTTGGTCAGAATGTAATTCCAGGGGGATTCCGTGTCTTGCAATGACGTTCGTCATAAATGCTTCCGCAACTGTCGTCGCTTCCTGATTAGGAATAGGAACTATTTCGGGCCACTTTGAAAAATAGTCCATAAGAACCATCAAATATTTGTTTCCTCTTTCTGTTAAGGGAAGTGGTCCAAGGATATTTATGGCGATTTGTTCGAACGGCTCTCCGGAAAGGTACTGTGCCATTTTACCTCGACTTCCAGTGCAATAGGCCATCGGGAAAATACAGGGAATCCCACTGGGTCCAGTAGCCTTTTATAGTTCTACTGTATTTGGCTATCTCTTGCCAAGTAGGTGTGACTTTATTTTTGAGCCATTCTCGGATAACCTTTAAGTCATTGTCTTTCTTCTGTCCCTGTCTCAGACTTTCAAGGGTGATTTCTTCTTCGCCGCCCTCTGGCTTGATAGTGGTTGCCCGAAGGGTAACTTTATCAACTGGTTCCTCCCGTTCTCCGAGCCCCTTACTGTACTGGCATTCTTGTTCTAAACAGGGTCGCCTGGAGAGAATGTCTGCGTTGCTATACAGATGGCCTCTACAATGCTCTACTTCCTGATTATTGCTAGAAAACCGGCTCGGTGTGGGTGATTGGCTACTTCGGGACGCATAGCTGCTGTGACTATTTCTTGTTGGACTTCGTGACGGGCTTAGGAAGATTGATCTTTGTGATTTTCCGGCCTCATTCCCTGATTCTCTATAGAACGAGCTCTGCTTCTACAGGTTCTTTGAAGGTGCCCGATTCTTCCGCAATTGAAGCATCTTCTGTTCCTATTTTGGCTATTTCGTTGTATATTTTGCAGGATATTTAATATTTGCGAGAGGATAGGTTGGGGAATATCATTAGCATTGGGGTCCTCACTTTCCTGGGATTTAATTTCTCTCATTTTTGCGCGAGAAGATCTGGATATGAGTTTTACCGCTTCATATTCCTGGGCTGCAATCAGTTTCTCCTTCAGCGTCTTGTGATGTTGTAGACGAAGGACATGCTGCATTTCCGCATCTTGTAGTTCATCAATGAATGTCTCTATTCCGATTTGTTCTTGGAAATCTTTGGGCGCCTGTGGATAGGCCAGATGAATCAATTTTCTTATGCCAGCCCCGAACTCCTGTAGACTCTCATTATGTTTCTGACTACGAATCTTTAGCTGGCTTTGAAATACCCGTTTCAAATGTTGCTGGCCATATCTTGTCTCCAAAGCTTGGCCGAGAGATGAATAACTGGGTTCTTCTTGAGGGAGTAACTGTAAAACGGTTGCTGCTTGTCCTCGCAGCGACACTATCAATGCAGCCGCTTTCTCCTTTTCAGCCCAGCCATTGGCTCTAGCTGCAGCTTCAAATTGGAGGCGATACGT